CAACTCTTCCTACCCTGAGACGGTTATTTATTTATTTATTTTTTTTCCTTTTTGTCTTTTTTACTGACCAGTAACGGGATCGCAACCCTCGGTGTCGCGCCCGTACCGGGGACCGGCAACGGGATCGCAACCCTCGGTGTTGTGCCCGCACCGCGCTCAGCCAGTGAGCGGGAACCGGTCTCCACATGGGATCCGAACCCTCAGCGGGAGCGCTGCCACGCTCCCAAGCAGCGCACTCACCACTACGCCACCGGGCCGGCCCCTGAGATGGTTATTTTGATGTGTCACCTTGGCTAGGCTACAGTCCCCAGTTATTCAATCAAACACTAGTCTAGATGTGTCTGAAGATATTTCATAGATGGACTAAAGTCTATAATCAGTTGACTTTAAGTAAGGGAGATTATTTTATGTAATCTGGGTGGTCCTGATTCAATCAGTTGAAAGTCCTTTAAAGCAAGGCTTGAGGCTTTCCTGAGAGAAGAAATCCTGCATGTAGATATGGTCTTTAGCTCATGCCTGGGAGTTCCAACATGCCCCCTCTGAAGGGCTGCTCTATGGATTTCAGACTTAACTAGCTATCCCCCACAGTTGTGTAAGCTAATTCCTTTCAATAAATCTCTTACTATGTATCTTCTACTGGTTCTGCTTCTCTGGTTGAACCCTGATTGATACACACCCATACACTGAGGCTTTGCCAGAGGTGGTTGGCCTGTTTTCTTTTACAACAACAGCTTCTCTAACATCCCCTTACCCCAAAGGACTTATACTTCAAGCACCGCCCCCCCCTCCCCCCCCACTTTCCTTTTCTACTTCCTTCTCTGTAAGATGTATCCCCCTGCCCCCTGAAAATTCCCCTCTACACATTCTGTTATCTCTGGTACTCCTATTTATGACCTGATTCTGCCTTGAATACCCTAAAGGTCCCAAGACTTCCATATGTAAAAAAATCCTTCAGAATTTGATCAGACTCTAAAAGAGAATTTTTGAGTGAGAGAATGAAAAATAGTCCATCAACTGTATTACTCAGATATGTCAATGTCATAGTAGACACAGAAATGTTGGTGAACTTTTATAGATTCAAGGAGACTGAGGAGATGTGATGACTAAATACAAAATAGGTCCTAGATTAGGTCCTGCACTGGAGGAAGAGTATGCTATAAAGGACATTACTGGCTAAATTGACACAATTGAAATACAGGCAGTAGATTAGATAAAATTCCATGATACTGTTCAATTTACCAAAGTTGATATCTATATTGGAGGTAGAAAACAGAATATCTATGTTCTTAGGAAATAAATACTCACTGCAGGGGAAAGAAGACAGAATAACCACAAAAATTCCTTGAACTATTTAAGCCAAGTGAACAGATATGATGTGTGTGTGTGGGGGAAGGGGGTGGAGAGGAACGGGTAAAGGGGCATGAAAATCAACTTCAATGTATATTGAGAAGCAAAATAAAAATAAATAAATAAATAAATTACAAAAAGGAAATATTGAGGGCCGGCCCGTGGCTCACTCAGTAGAGTGCGGTGCTGATAACACCAAGGCCACGGGTTCGGATCCTATATAGGGATGGCCGGTTTGCTCACTGGCTGAGCGTGGTGCTGACAACACCAAGCCAAGGGTTGAGATCCCCTTACCGGTCATCTTTAAAAAAAAAAAAAAAAAAAAAAGGAAATATTGAAATATTTAGGAGTAACGGGTAATGATGCATGCAACTTACCATTGTCAAATGTTTAGACAAAAGACTAATAATGTAGATGTATATATAGAGAGAGCAAGTGAAACAAAACGCTAAAACTGGGTCATAGGAATAGCAGTGTTTTTTACTATTCTTGCAACTTTTCTGTATTTGAATTTTTCCAAGTAAAAAGTTTTAAAAAATAGCCTATGATTCTGTTGCCCTGAATTTTATTTCCCCTTTAAGATTCTCTCTGACTTCAGTCTCACAGTTGTTCCTAGACATCTGCTATTCCAACTTAAAAAGTTCCATCAGTTCCATCTCAGGCAAGAGCACTGGGAGTATCACAACTGAGGTTCTTATCATTTGTGTTTACAGAATATGGAAAGGAAATGCAAGGGAAAATGAAATAAAAAATACATATAACATACAAAAATAGAAAATTATTACCGAAATACAAAGAATCATATTTACAACATGGCTTCAGATACCAAGAATCAGAGTGTAGATTTTGGAGTCAGTAATATCCAAGTTCTAATCTTTGCTCTGTCATATACCAGTCATGTGACCCGGGGCAGGACATTTTACCTCTTTGTTCTTCAGTTTCCTTACCTTGGACAGGGAAATATAAATCCTCAGTATATGTAGGAAAAAAATGTATGCTAGCGTATGAAGATGATTCCTGAAAAAGAAGGATAAATAGTAAATAGTAATAAATAGATAATTAATAAATAGAGACCAATAGTTTCTTATTCCAAGATTTTAGTGACTCATTGATATTCTTTGGAATCTGAAAAGCTCTGTAGTTTTCAAGAATTTCTGGTTGCAAGGGTAGGGAAGAGAATTGAGGAAAGAAAAGGCCCTCATTTCTTAAGGCCCTTCACAGAGCCACGTGCTTTATATGTGGACTCATTTGGTATATAGGACCTTATAACACTCCTTTATGCTGCTGATGGAGGTTTAGATTGTTAGAACCTCTTCACAGGTGTTTTGGCAATATCTATCCAAGTGAAAAAGTGCAGATGTGCACAATGAAATTTGTATAGGTATGTTTACTGCAATATTGTTCTAAAAGCAAGTTCATTAAAGGATTCAGTGAATAAACTATTATACATCCATATGATTAAAGACTAAATCCATTAAGAAGAATGAGATGTCTGCATATTCTAATAAGAAATGATTTCCTCTGTATATCATAGAAAACAAGTTATGTAAGAATGCTACCATTTTGGGGGGGGGGGAGTTTATACACCTGTCTTCCTGTACCAAGGTTCTTGTCTACACTATCTCTGAAAGACCACACAAGAATTTAACATTTTTCAGAAGGGGAATTTGGGGACACAGGACAGAGGGAAACTTTTCACTCTATTCCCCTTTGTACTTTTTATATTTGTTACCAAATGCATCTTTTTCAAAAACAAAAGATTTGTTTTAAAACTTTTTGAGGGCCGGCCCGGTGGCGCATTGCTACAATGCGCCACTTGGGAGCTCGGCGGCACTCCCGCCGAGGGTTCGGATCCCACATACGGACTGGTTCCCGCTCACTGGCTGAGCGAGGTGCGGGCGCAACATGAAGGGTTGCGATCCCGTTGCCGGTCCCGGTCCGGTACGGGTGTGACACTGAGGGTTGCAATCCATTGCCGGACATGAAAAAAGACAAAAAAAAAAAAAAAACTTTTTGAGATAATTGCATGTTCACAAAGGATTTTTTTTTTTTTTTCCTTTTTGT